AGAAACTATATGCTCACATATAGAAAATCAACACATCCACAGATGGTTGGATTTTCATACTCAGATTTTGGTGGATGCCATGACTCTAGGCATTACACTCTTGGCTATGCGTATCTCCTTAACGGAGGTGCCATATCATGGAAAAGTCAGAAGTCACAGTTGATTTACACATCAACTATGGAGGCTGAGTATGTGGCATGTTATGAGGCTTCTATTCAAYGAGCATGGTTGCGAAATTTTGTCTCTGAGTTTGGGCCTCTGAGTTTTGTTGACAAGCCTTTAACTCTTTATTGTGACAATCAAGCTGCAATCTTCTTCTCAAAGCATGACAGGATATCMAAAGGATCCAAGCATATGGACCTTAAATATCTATCATTGAAGCAAGATGTTAAAAGAGAAAAGTTTGTCATTAAACATATAGGCATTGAACTTATGGTCGCAGACATATTTACAAAAGCATTACCTCCCAAGACTTTTCAAAAYCATGCTGAAAYTATGGGTCTTGAGGATAGCTCTTAATTATGTTGTATGTATTACGACTAGTCTATATTTGACATTTCTTTTGAGCTCTTGTATGACTTTTACATCTTTATAGATATTCTGTTCCTAATGTGCGCACCCATAATTGTTGTTGGATTTATGATAACAMAATACGTCTTTTTAAAGACATAAAAAGGACCATTAAGATAACTTCTACTTATGTTTATGGTCTAGTTATYATAGTAGTCAATYTAGTAGTGCATGGAAGGYATCATGTTGCAAAATGATGTGTAACCGCCATGACTCTCATTGATTATTAGATTAGCCAAAACACTTATGATGACCAAATAAATATTAAGATATAACATATTGTGCCGACTTTATGATTGATTAAAGAAATATTATTGATGGGCTATATTAACGACCAAGTGGGAGAATGTAAGAAAATTGATATTTTCCCAATTATATGGTCTTATATATAGCTCATATATTTCTCTAATGAAAGTGTTATTCCTTAATAACATTTGGTCACTAATTATTAAGAAGTTTTAATTTCCTAATTAAGAAAAACATCAGAGAGACAAGTGTAAAGTATTAGAGACATATGGCAACACTAATAGCTAATTCATGACATGTATTTAGAGCCATACTTAACACTTGTCTTACATATTTTAATCTCTAACAAGTGTAAAGTATAAGAGACAAATGTGTAACATTCATGGCTAATTTCATGACATGTATTAGAGGCATACTTAACACTTGTCATACAAGTTTAAATCTCTAACCATGATGGATGGTTGAGATCAAAACCCTAATGAGGAACTAGGTCCCCTCTCCTCCTATAAATACTGACCTTTAGCCCATCATAAAGGTGTGATAAAAATGAGAACAAAATTACACAATACATAAGAGATAGGTTTGTAGGAAAGGGAAGAGAAAGCTTAAGTCCTAATCAAAGATCAAGATTTCATCTCCTAATCAAATCAACCATATAAGGAATACTTTCTCATCATGAAGAATGGAGGTACTCTTTTAACTCTCTTAATTTTATTTTGTAATTAATTTAAATGCTTAAAAATCTTAGGGTTCATGTAAGTGCATTGTTAATTTTATTTAACAATTTATGCTAATTACCCTAAAATTTAAGAACTACTATAGATTAAAAAAACCTTGAGTATTTATAGAACTATAATTCAATTTTTAACTGATTGGATTGTAAAGCTAAATCCAAATGGAAAACATAACCTAAAACCGTGGCTCATATGTTAGTTATCCCATGTCACCGGACCAAGAATATGTCTCCATTAGATCATGAACAATATGTGACTAGATTCAAAGCATATCAACAAATTTAAACAAAAGGGTCAAAATTAATTAAAAAAAATTGTTCAAAATTTGTAAAGATGATGTCTACATTTTTGGGAAAGCCGCCTTTGCAATTATTTAGTTTTTTCTTTTTTTTTTGGATCTAAATGTTAAGATGTAAACTATTTAGTTTTTTTTCTATTTCTGTCATACCAAGTTTTTTGCATATTAAAGTGGATAAACTAGCAAAGAGTGCTAAAAATTCTTTTACATGATGCTATTTATGTAAACACTATTTCTTCGATTTAGGCTTTCAATTTTAAATTTAGAATAGCTTTGATAGTTTACGAGTATAATATAACCGGTAAAAATGTACTATTCATGAAAAAACATATCTAATTCTGATTCAATTTTAAAACCAGTTTGTTTGTTTCGCATTCAGATCAAATTAAATTGGCTTATCTTTATTGAACATTGAAGTGAAAAAATCTG